TCTTCTTTTAAGGGAGTACTTGACTAGAGGTCCAATATCTGTCTGCTACCTTAATACTTAACATAAATATATGCACATCTATATATTTCCCTATTGTTATATATAAATACATTTACATATCTACATGCCTGTATTTAGACCTCTATAAATGTCCTTTCCCTCCTAGTTCTTTCCTCTATTTCCTTTTACTTTCCTCTTGTCCCACTATCATGCTCAGCTTTCATTTGGATTTCAGTAATTCCTCTCAGCTCCATTGCCCTTGATCAAGTCCCATCAGGCATCCTATGACCTCCTTGCCATTGGCTTTAGATCACTTGTTGTTCCCGTGTCTCTGGGTTGGTTGATACCCCCGTGCCTCTCCCATGTCCTCCTGGAGCCGTCTGTCCCATTGTTTTCTCCTCTGGATAGTTTATCCCTCCTATATTATCTAGACAGACATGCAGAAACAATAATAAGCACAAAAACAAGACAACAAAACAAAATAAAAGACCAAAACAATAACAACAAAGAAAACCAATGACAAAAGAAGAAAAACCTATAAGTAGTCCAGGTCTGTCTGTTGACCTTTAGGAGTGTTTTCCAGTTGAGTCTGATGGAGTGCCACACCCTGACCCCAAAGTCTATTTTTTGTATTCCCTGAGGACTTCATTGCTTTGCTCCCCTTGCTGCTCTGTTGCACACCCTTAGTGTTTCACCCCAGTGTGGTTGGTGAGATTTGGAACAATTCCCACAGTATGTCTCCAGTGTAGTCTCCTGTAGTGTCATGGGTCAGTGAGGGTCATCGTGTCTCATGGTGGAACTGGCCCTATGGGCCTCTCTGTATATTGGCTGCTCTGAGCAGGAATATCGTCCTCTGGGATTGGTGGGCCAGGATGTGTTCCACATTCTCTCCTTCCCTCTTCATTTGCTCCTGTGTCCTCTGATCAGACGTTGCCTTCTCCCTGAACTGTAGCTTCAGTGATGTCCTCTAAAGTGCATTCTTAGCTGGGGGGTGGGAGTGGAAGGGGGTGGTTGTTACATAATCTGTTGTCAATTTGAGATTTAAGAGTGAAGGGGCAGCGTTTAACCTGTCAATCAGGTCACAGCTTGATAACCTCATTTGGAGGTGCTAAAGAGATAAATAGCTCACTGCAGGCAGGACACACAGGCTGACTCCCTTCGAGACATTCCTGTGGATAAGACACATGGAGCTATGCTAGCGCCCTGGAGCTGAAGGAGCCACATGGAGACCCCTGTCACTGATGATATGCTTCTAACCGCCACTGAATCCACAAGAATTCCCACCCACTGGCCTGTGATCTTCCTGAATTTGGTGTCATTGCATGTGTTTCATGAGTCTGAAGAGGACTTTATAGATTGGTTTCAGACATATGGGCTAATATAGGACTTATGGACTTGATCTGGACTGAGCTGGGATATTTTCTCAATATTCAATTGCTCTTGCATAGAAAGCTCTTTCTTATACACATGTGAGTGTCTCTATGAATTGTTTCTCTAGTCTACCCAGACTAACACAGGTGGGGTCCATGTAGTTGGGATTGGGGCCAGCCTGAAAACCTCTTTATTATTTCTCTGCTTCATGCCGGTATGTTGGATGGTGCACCAGGTGTGGAAATATAAACAATACCCTCTGAAAGGTAACAGCGCTAATGAAAAATTGCTAGAACACTGTGAGCCAATAGATCTTTACAAGCCAGGAACAGAAATGGCTACTCTCAGGGCCAGCAGAGGGCAATAGGTTACTCTGAGAACTTGACCTACAAAGTTCCAGCCAATGAGTATAACACTACCTGCACTTCACTGATGCTAGGAAGTGATGATATGTGATGAATGACAGTTTAAAAAGTGATGATAAATGACAGTTGGGCTTTGAGAGTAAATTCTGATAAAATGCAATACAGCAACATAGATAAGCACAATTTTATTTCTACCACAGCTCTTCACAATAAGACTGCCACGTGTTGGAACAGAGCAACCTACTGAGAGAGGTGAAAGGATATGCCCATTATTATTATACTTTGGGGGAGCAGGCAAGGACTGGAGCCCAAGTTTGTCTGACACATTTTTCATTGCACTGCAGTATTTTCTCCAACTTGTGCTGTCCATCTGGTACAGTCTGAACAGGATTTTAGTACATTCATAGACCACAAATATATGACATAATATTAAAATATATCTATGGTTTTCATAGGATATCACTTGGAAGAGTAAGGTACACTCAAGCCAAAACATGGTATTTTCAAACCCCTCATATGCATGTGAAAGTTTGGAGTTTCCAGAATCTTCCTGGTGGGTGTTACCCTGTGACCTGATTGACAGGCTAGACTCCACCCCTACATTCTATTGATCAAGTTGGCATGAAATTATGTAACTACCACAGTTACCGTCTCCAAAACCCACATGGACAGTTCTACCCGGTCCTACAGGGTCATTATGAGTCAAACCCAACTTGATGGCAGTGAGGTACTTTATTAACATATGAGTGGCTGAGATTCATGTGTGGATAAGTGCCGTGTCTGTGAATCGCCCGCATATCAGGAGGAGTAATAACTGCAAAAGATGGAAGGGGAAAGGACACTAAAATTCTAAAGGATTTTCAACCTACAAAGTTTCACAAGTGCCCCTAAATTATTGCTCCATTTCAAAGAAACTCGAGCCAAAATTTAGTAGATGTCCCCAGTGTGATTTGTCCACGACAGTATTCAGACCCCTAGGAATGCTCTTGGCCTTGGTCCCAGGTCAAAGACTAGCACATAAATATATCTCAATGTGTTTTAGGTTGAAGTAAAATATTGACTATGATGGTATCTTTTTGATGAACCAACCAAACATGACTCAAATCTAACTGGATGAACAGATTCTCCACCACCATGAGAATTCAGGAGGAACGTGATCCAGGCTGTGCTGTGTTTTGAATCTGAACAAACGTGTTACTTTACTTTTGCTCAGAACTCCAATCCCACACATCCTGGGATGGACATTTTACTTTCCCTAGTTCCATTCCTGACTGACTGCGGGGGCCAGCCAACAGTGTTACTTGGTGTGTATGGCATGTAAGTCCCTGCCATGAGGCAGGTGCTGCCCACACCCTCAGAATATGGTCTCCTGCAGCCGCTCAGAGGCTACAGCCTCCACATGTGTGGGCCCCAGCCCACATCTCTAGAACACATCTCCTCTTATCACAAGGTTTATGATAGTTAAAACGGAAATTCTTACCATTAGTTTAAAGAGTTTAAAGACAATTAAGTGGTCTTTGCACACAGGAGTGTAGCCAGGAGCTAGAAGCTGCCCACAACTCTCTGAGAGGAAGCCCCCGATGAGAGAAGAAGCTAGGAATGAAGGAGCCAAGAATTACCTCCACCACTGCTTTCTGAGGGGCTCTCTGGGAGGTGACAGGCCTGGGCTTCACCCACATGAAGGACTGTAGGAGAAAAGCCACGTGTGTGCAAGGGTGTGTGTGTCTGCATAAAAGTGCATGCCAGTGTACATGTGTATGAGCATGTGTGTGCAAGCATCTGTGAATCTCTGCATGCCTATGTATGAGTCTATGTATCAAAGTATATGTGAGGTTGTGTCTGTTTGTATGCATTATATGTGTGTGTGGCAAGTGTGCATATTTGCATGTATGTGGACAGGTGTGGGTGGTGCCTGTCTGCATCTGCACACACACATGTAGGAAGGTTATTTTCTCATGTAAAATTTGTGAGATTCAAAGTGCCATTCTCAGGAAAGCATCGGGAAGTGCAGGGAAACTAGGCCAGAGGCAGCCAAAAGACCCCTGGGCTGGAATCCTTTGAGATGAATAAAATGTCTAGGAAAACATGTGGAGGGGCCACAGCAGTAGTCAGCAGGGTCAAGGACAATCTGGAGATGCTGAGAAAGACAAGCTTCTAGGTACAGTAATGAGAAGGATACGGGAGCAGAGAAACACAATTTGTCTTCGCTATCTAAATACCTGTCTCAGGCAGAAGGACCTAGCAAGTCAGAGCAGTCTGAGGACAGAGGCTGAGGGAGATTGTAAAAGTATTTTTGTTTCATCTTTTAAGACCAAAACTACCAGAGTTATTGAGAAGTTGAAAAGGAACCCTGATGTGAAGTGGTTTACCTCAAGGTTAGTAGTTCAAACCTACCAGCAGCTTCACAGGAGAAAGATGAGGCTGTCTACTCCAATAAGGATTTACAGTCTTGTCAACCCACAGGGGTAGTTCTACTCTGTCCTATAGGAACACTCTGAGTCAGAATCGACTTGGTAGCAGTGGGTTCATTGTTGACTGTTCATTGTTGATTCGCTTATTGGTAAATTGAAGTTAAGACACAAACAGAGAGGTAGAGGTTTAGGAGGATGTTTAGGGGACACTACACCCACCCAGGCAAAAGTCAGAACAATCACTGGGAACAGAAGTGCAGTTGGGTTTGCTGGGGAGATCTGGCAACAGGCAGGCAAGGAACCTTGAGACAGAAGCACTACATTGATCCAGGAAGATGATGCAAAGAATTTCAGAAACAAAGCAATATATTTCAATAACTGTCTGATGCATTAAAATAACACAGGTGAAATAATTCCTGAAAAGATATCTAGATATGCAAATGTGTTGGTGATATATCCAATATATTTTAAGCTTCAGCAATATCATGACCTCAAGTACTAATTGACTTTTTCACTCGCATTGTAAATTTACATCAATTGTGGAGCCATGGAGGAGAACTGGCAGCATTGTGGTTGTGGTTGGGCTGTGATCTACAAGGTCAGAAGTTTGAAACCACCAGCAGCTCCACGGGAGAAAGATGGGACTTTCTACTCCTGTTCACAGTGACACGCTCAGAAACCCACAGGGGCAGCTCTACCCTGTCCCGTCGGGTCACTAGGAGTCAGAATCAATTTGATGGCAGTGAGTTTCGGTTTGGGTTTTGTGGAGTTTGGCTTTATGGAGATTGGTTTTGGTTTGGGAGTTTGGTTGTGTGGATCAATGAAACAGAGATACAAACCAATTATTCTTCAATCCATTTCAAAAATCAGTGTTTTATTTTGTATTTTACAGATTTATTTCCCTATTTAAAAAAACACACAGAAGCATGACCTTCAGAAGATGTAAGCTGCAAGTATTTTAATATAATATGGTGAAACATTTCATGATATATAAATTAAGATATCACGATTCTGTGTAGAAAAAAATAAACTTACAGTGAATAAATAAACTAACAACTTTATATACCAAGTAATATGTGGAGTATAAAAAGTCATCCATATACATACATAGACAGGTGTGTGTGTTCTAGACTATAAATATACTATATATATATATATACTTAAATATTTCATGTGAAATTACATATTATACTGCATTTGTGTTCAGCTTTGTATATTAAAGTATTGGTGGCATTGGGGGTCTCCCCTGACCTCCAGGGTCCCTGGAACCTTCTTTCCACTCCAGGGGTACACACACCAGCAGAGTCCAGCCTCGCCCTCCAAGGATGTCTCACACTGCAAAGACAAGATCCAGTGGCAGTATTAGCAAAGGCAAGCAAAACAAACTGTATTGGGGTAAATCCCTGTCTCCAAAGAGTTGTGTCCCTGGGTAAAGCAGATACCTCTGTGCCTCATCATCATGTTTCAAACGCAAGATTGTCTTCATGTGCACGCTAAATGGCCAACCGTACGGAGCTATCTGTTTTCATGGCCCAGGTATTAAATCTGCTGAGGCCCAGGTAGGAGGGATGGACCCTCTGATACCGGATCAACAGTACTTGAAGCATGGGCTTCCACTGTTGCTGACCTATCATAAAGCCACACATGGTTTCTCTCAATAGCATCTACAGAGCATAGGAATTGTTTAATCCTAAAGGTCTCCTCAAGGGGCAACATGACCGTTGCCTTAAAGAGAACAGGGCTGACCAGGGGTGTCTCCTTCGGAGAGGACTGCGATGTAAGCTCTGCGCCAGGTGGGACCTTACAGGTAAAGTACAGTCTTAACTGTAGTAGCAAACCACTAACTTCAACAAACCCCAGCCCAAGAAAGGAGAAGGAAGCCAGCAGAGATAGACGTGGGCCTGCTTCAGGAGATACTGAATAAGAGAAATGAACCGTTGCATGGCCTGAGGCATTGTTTCATTCAATGGACACACCAAAATGGTTGTTAACACAACTGATAGATTTATCTTTGACAGGTGTGTCCAAGGGGGCAAGGACAGTCCTTTTGACAATGGTTCTGGAACACCTGGATCTCTGCATGCAAAGGAATGAAATTGGACCCTTGCCTTAAGCTATGTACAATTTTAACTCAAAATGGATCAAAGTCTAGAATAGCAGTTCTCAACCTGTGGGTCCCAACTAAAGGCTCGTGGCATTAGGAATGTTGGGAACCACTGATCTAGAGGGGTGTCTTGGTCAATTGCCATAATATAATTCATAAAGGTTATGTTCTACATCCTAGTATGCTGAATAGTGTCTGGGATCTTCATAGCTGTGAGTGGCCAATTAAGTTATAATTATTGATCTCAAAGAAGAAACTAGTCTACAAACTAATAGTCTATAAACCATTGTCTCCTCTACCCTAAGCCCAGAAGAACTATATGGTGCCTGCTTACAATTACTGTCTATTCTGATCTGGACCATAGTGTGTGGATCCTGTGAGGCCTGAAGAAAAATTAATAGAACCACAAATTCATTAAAAATCAAAACACAAACACAGATTTACTGGATCAGTTAAACCTGCAAGACTCCCCAAGATCACGTTCCTGAAATCATCATCATCACAATAACCAAAAGATGGAACCAAGTGTCTACCAACAGATGTATGGATAAACAAAATGTGACATTATTTAGCCATAAAAAGGAATGAAATGCTGATATGAGCATAGATGGATGAACCTTGGTAAATAAATCAGACACTAAAGTATAAGCGTGGTACAATTCCACATATTTGAAATATTTAGAAAAGCATAATTATCACACAACATTGTAAACATATGAATGCTACTGAATTGTACACTTGAAATTATTAAAATAGTAAATTTTGTTAACACATTCAAATAATTAAATAAAATTTGGAGAAACTGTAAGATAAATTCATCTCCTCAAAATTTAAATCTCCATGAGTTTTAGCTCATTTGCTATTTGGTCATCTAAAAATATGTTATTGAATTCTATTTTAGAACTTTTTTTCCCCTCCGCGAGGAAAGGGACAAAAAGAGAAATAAGAACTGCCCAAGTAGAAACACATTTTTTTAAAGGAGAATTTGGTCCATTCCTCTTTTTTTATAGATGAAGAATCTAAGGTCCAAAAAATTAATGACCTGCCCAAAGTCAACATCCATGTGTTTGTTAACTGATGCCCCTAATTCTCAAAACCAGACCCTGGTTCCCAAGAGGTTTGCCTCGACTAGCCATCAAATGATGCAATGTCCTTAAGTTATCTTGGTTCCTAGTGGGTGAAAACACCTACTTAAAACGACAGGTTTAAGTTCTTCATGATTCGTATCTAGGGATGAACAAGCATGACTTCAGGGATGTGGGGCAAGGAGAGCTGTCCTTAGAAGGAGGCACGTCAGACTTGCATACCTGTTTGCTGTGATAAAATCCATTCTTGTTGCAGTTTGGCAGATAAAACTTGTAGATTGCTTCTCCGTCCTTCTGTTGGGCTTTGGCCAATCTATCCAATACTTTGTAGAGTTCTCGTTGGCATGGCTTCTAAAAGAAGAATTTGATGTATAAATGATGTGAGAAAAGGAATGATTATTAAGAGATAACTATCTGACTGGTAAGTGAGGATGGTTAATATCTCTCTCTTGAGTTGTCAAGATAAAAGACAAGAATTTCATTCACCTAAACTTAGAGAGAGAGTGCCCAGGCAGTAGCCTAGCCAACTTCGTAAAGTGTCCTTGACTCCTCCAGACAGTTGCTGCATAATTTTGAACACCAGGTACCTGGCTGCAAGAAGAGCTGCCTAGCTCTCCCCATGAAGAATTCAGCAGGAAGATGTCAAAGTGTCCGAAATCTACAAATTTGTTTCACATAAACGGGGTCAAGTGGAAATTAAATTGTCTACCTGGATGATTTAAGGATTAAATTTCCTTCATTTGTCATAATTTCCATGTGAAAGATCTTAAATATCCAGAAAATGGTTTTAAACCTCCATTTTTCTGGTTGTGTTTGTGAGGGCTTTGGTTTTTTTTCTTGTTTTTCTTTTGTTGTTGTTGTTGTTGTTGTCAAATCAACTCAAACTGATGTCACCTTCAAGTGGTAAACTTGAAAACAGTCTTGCATTAAGATGTGATTGGACATAGTTGGGGGCAGATGAAGGAGAGACCCTTATACTGAACTTGAGAATAGTTTAATGGGATGTTCATCAGAGATGCCCTACAATGACACTCTCATTGCCAAGAGAGTTCAGAAACATGAAGTACCATATCTATAGTTGTACAGCATGAATGGCATTTGTTACTCCACCTAGTTCCTCCAAAGATTCCTAAAAGTAATTCTCCTGAAAACCTTGCCAAAACTAATCATAGACATGTCTATCAGACTTCGGGAAGAAAAATCTTTACAGGCAGGGTTTCAGGGGCAGGAAGGAAACCACAAGGCTTCAACATGGAGAGTGCCTACCATCAGCAGGGTCTCACCTTCCATTTCCTGGTGTCCTCAGTCTCGTGAGCTCTGAGGTTTCCGTAAGTGCTGATGGCATTCCAGAGGATGGACCTGTCCTCCCCAGAAGGGGCCATCAGATGGAAACTGTCCAGGAGCTGCTCTTGGGTCATCTCAGTACTCTCGGGTGGCACAGTCTCTGGGGCTGAGGAGGCCTTCAAGTCTGAAATGGAACAGGCAGTGCCTTAGAACTCTCCATCAGTGTACCTGCACTGTGCTGGATCTCTGACGTCACTCCTGCAGTAGCTGTGTGCATGCCTTCCCACTCACAGAGCCAGGCTGGGGTATAAGGAGGTCCACACTCATCTATATCATAGGTCCGCAAATTCTTTGACCTACTGCCCTGTTTGGGGTGGGGGGTGGGGGGGTGGCGTGGGGGGAATTACTCACCTGCTCCCTGGCAATGAAAAAGTTTTGAACAATAGCTCGTGACCCAGGATAAAGTGTAAGTATCTGCTTTTGCGGCCCCTTGATCATTCCAGTGCCCTGTCACACACCCCCACACCCCCTGCAGGGAATAGAATCACCCACTTGGAGAAGCACTGATCTAGATCAGGGGTCAGCAAACTGCGACTCTCCAGCCATCTGTGGCTCTTTGGGTGTGTACATGCGGCTCTGATGTACAATTTGGGGGCGGGGTGTAGGGGGGATTAAGGCTATTATTCAGATAATGGTGATTTCATTGGTTTGTGAAAATACATTGATGGCTCTCAAATGATTGTTAAATTTTCAGTGAGAGACAGCATTGGCTTCTCTGTCTCCAAAGTTTGCCAACCCCTGACCTAGATTGCTTCCACCTCTCTTTCTAGAAACACTTCTAATGGTTTCAGGTAAGAATTATAACAAAAGCAACACCCACTCTGTTCTGGAAAAATATGTTTTAAGAGTCTTGCAAGAGTGTCCTAAAGTGTTGCTTCTAAGGTAGGTTCTAGGGGAGGAGAGAAACATCACATGTATGGAGGTAATGGCAAAACTGACAAAGGCAGGGATCGGGCTCAATTCCTGATGTCATTGGCTGCAAGTCCTGGGAATGGTACTTATCTTGTTAGAACCTCATAGGTATAAATAGGGTGGGGTTCGTTTAGAAGTGGGGTCTAGATTGCAGTCCTCCTCACACACAGCCCTATACCATCCCCTCCCCAGAGGCCCTGCCATCTCCCATAAGAAGTGACAGACTCCTTTGTAAGCCTCAGAAAAGGGGGGCAGTCTCTGGACAACTTGCAAATAGAGCACAGCGATGTGGATTCAGTATTTGGACAGAACCATGGAGAACTGATTCTAATGGTACCTGCTGCAAGACTCATTCTCCTTGGGGACTGTCCCCTTTCTGGGGTGATAGGCATCCGTTTATTCACTGAAATGCTTCCATTTACTCTAAAGGACAGAGAATGAACAGGAAAAGTGTGACCCTTCCTTGCAATGGTCACACGCTCAAGGCAGATTCCTATCAGGGGACAGAGCCATGAGGTTCCTCTGTGAATCCACACAGGATGTGCAACCAGCCCAGATGGGGAGATAGGAAGCCGAGAGTAAGGAAGAGCTATTTCCTTTGCTTCCCACTACAAATAAATTGCTACTTAAATTCAGGAAAAGAACCTGACAAGTTCTTAGGAGTTCCCCGCAACTTACACATCAAAGTTGTTTTTCTATGCAATGAATGGAAGCAAAGTGTTCAGCGTGAACTCTCACATTATGTTCTGTAAACATCTGGGAAGCACTTACCGTATTCACGGGACATATACTACAGTGGACATTCCAAGTCTATTGAGAGTGGAGGGGGTGAGGGAGGAAGACAGCTGGAGAGATGTTCATACCAGGTGGCCATCAAGACCCCAGTTCCAGGGAGGAGGGGGAGGGCTGCCAGTGTCACCGCCCTGCTGGAGAAGCTGCATTTTGCCTCCTTCACTCTCTGGCCCTGGGATCTAAGGAACATGCGTGTTTACAGTTCACTAGGCTCCGGGTCCTCACTAGGAGATCTGGGTCCTCTCCTCCATCCTTTCACTAAGTTTGCCGGCCTGGGCCTTTTCTCTTTTTCTTGGGCCAGGGTCAATGGAACTGGGTCCTGTCCTTTGCAAGCTCTAATGGAAAGCTGATGCCAGCCAGGTGCCCATGACTCCCTGCAGTTTTAGACCAACCAGTTCCTTCCCGAGCCCGATCTCAGGCCTTAGGCCTGCCGTCTGTCCTGGTAGGGGACAAGGGGAGGAGGGGGCTCACCTGTGGCCTCTGCACTGAGGTCAGTTTTGCTGTCATCTGGTACAGGCATGCAGGCACCCTGCCCACGGGTCAGGGCATGGAGGGGACGTGGCTCCCCAGGTAGTGCTCGGCAGCTCAACCCACTGCCACATCGAGCCGTTCTCACGCCACATGCAGCTCCAAGCTGCAGGGCGCACGTCTGGCAGCAACCACAGCCAGCTGGTGCGGCGACCTCCAGGCAAGAGGCCGGCACTGGCGGACAGAGTGCCAGCTTTTCTTCAGAGCAGGGCGCACAGCGCCAGGGCTGGGGTGCACCAGCAACGGCACCAAGGAGGATGCCCAGCATGATGAGCAGCGCCCAGGCGCTTGCAGCGGAAGTCTTCGCCATCACAGACGAGGATCAGTGGAAGACGGTGGCCAGCGGTGGCAAACAGGCACGGTGCGGAGGGTGGTGGCAGTGGGTGCTGATGGTGTCGAGATGCGTTGGCTGCCAGAGGCAACAGTCTTGAGGCACAGTGACTGCAGGAGGCGACGGATGCTCACCGGGCCCTGGGCTCGCCTTATGAAGCGTGTTCGGCGCTTCCCCCGGAGCTGGTGGTTAATGATTGACGGCCTCTTGCGTTTGGAGCTGTGTACTCAAAATAAGTTTGTTTTGCTCCTGCTCAAACCGTGGGTGGAAGGAAGGTAAACGGCTAGCGTTTCAGATCCATGTTTATCCTGTTATGTGGAACCAAAGTCCAATCCTAACAACAGGCACCGCTGCCAAATGGAGTAATGACCCTTGTTTACATCTAAGATCTCTGTTGTGATCTAGACTAGTCGGCCGGCCCTCTCAGACTCATCCAGAGAAAGCGCAAGAGTTTAAGTCACCTCCATTTGCAGAAACAAAGGCTCCCAACGAGGGGAAAACCAAAACGAAACAAACAAAATCCACGGCTGTTGAGGGGACGCTGACGCAGAGCGCCCCTAGAGGACAGGGTAGAACTGGCCCCTGCGAATTTCCGAAACTGTGCCTGTTCAAGGCAGTAGAGTAGAACGTCTCCCCCTTTCTCCTGCGGTGCTAGTTGGTGGTTCGAACTGCAGCCCAATCGGAGCCGCTACGCACAAGCGCTCCTCGCAAAACTAGCTGCCCCTGAGTCCATGCCAACTCAGGGTGGCTCTCTGGGCAGAAACGCCCCAGTGAGTTTCCGAGACTGGAACTCTGTGGGAGTAGAAAGCCGCATCATTCCCCATGGAGCTGCCGGTAGTTTCAGACTGCTGACCTTGCCGTGAGCCGCCGGATGATACGCATCCAGGGCTCACTGAGGAAGGGCACCGACTGGGTTAAAACCCAAGTTCTGAAAGCTTTGGTGGGAGATGCAGGCCCTTTCTTTGTTTTCTTTCTGCCAAGCCACAGACTGACTTCTCCTTGCAAGGTTAGGGACCACGGTCCTAGGAAGTGAGGACCTTTCTACAAGGGAAGGTTGTGGATGCTATTATTAAATGCCATTGAGCGGGTCCCAACCCACAGAGAGCCTGCGCACCGCAGAGCAAAACACTGTTGGGTGCCAAGCCATCCTCACCATGGTTCCCGCGCCTGAGCCCACGGTTACAACCTCTCTGTCAACCCATCTCCTTGAGAGCCTTCCTCTTTTCACTGCTCCTCCACTTGACCAAACATGATGTCCTTCCTCGGGGACCAGTGTCTCTTGACAACGTGTCCAAAGTCTGTAAAATGAAATCTCCCCATGCATGCCTCAAAGATCACTCTGGACTACTTCTTCCAAGACAGATTGGCTTGTCCTTTTAGCAGTCCATGGTATTGTCAATAGTCTTTGGCAGCACCACCATTCAAAGGCATCGGGTCTTCTTTGGTCTTCCTAATTCAATGGTCAACTTTCATGGAAAGTTGGAAAAGGAAGAAATGAAGAAATGAAGGCAGGAGGGATACATGGATGATTAACACTGTGATCACCCAATGTCATCCCTAGGGTTGGGTGGGAATGGTGTGAGGGTAGCAGTGGGAGGGGGTTCTTCCTGACTTATCTGAGAGGGATAGAGCCAAACCAGAATCACTCAAAAAAATATTGGCCAGTGCTTCATCCAGAGCAAGGTGTAAGAGAGAATAAAAATTGTGTGGTGGTCCTGATTTTGAATTACAAAGGAAGCCATACACAAATGAGGTGACAATGCTATAAAGTTTCTAATAGGAATGGGCATCCAGGGGCACTGTGGGAATAGGGCAGTGTTTCTCAACCTTCCTAATACCATGACCCTTTGATACAGTTCCTCATATTGTGGTGACCCCCCCAACCATAAAATTATTTTCGTTGCTACTTCATAACTGTAATTTTGCTACAGTTATGAACTGGGCGACTCCTGTGAAAGGGTCATTCAACCCCCAAAGGGGTCGCAAGGCACAGATTGAGAACCGCTGGAATAGGGGGGTGGGGTCTTTTCCTGAAGGGCTGACATCTTAGTGGGATTTAATGGCTGAGGACATGTCACCAAGTCTGAAGGACAAAGAACAACAGCCCAAGGAATGTGGAGAGCCAATCCCATGGGGAGCATAGCCAAGGTGGCTATGGGATATGCCCCATCCCACAAGAGAAGACTGGTCACCAAGGGCAGACAGGTCGCCCAATGTCATCACTGGGGTGGCCTGCGGTGGAGAGGGTTCTTCCAGTGTTGTGTTACCCAATAAGCAAGGGAAGCATGAATTTACTTGTCTTTCTGTACTAATCTGTAATGAATAATTTCACCTTCATTTTTCACCATATCAGAGATCCTGTTTCTGGATATGGATGGCATCTATCTGTCGCTCAAATGCACAGCAGCTTCCTATAGACTCAAAGTTTTTCTTTTCATTTCCCAATTGACAATCACTGGCAGGGATGGTGTACCCAGTAAGCAAGGAAAGCACGTGCTTTATTTGTGTTGACGTATTCATTGGTAGTTATGTTTTTACATCTTTGTTCATCAAAGTAGATGTGAAAACAAAGATACATGAAAACGTTCACTCTAGATCAGTAAATAAGTGCTATGCGCATGCTCCAGTTCTACAGGTGTGGTGGTCACTAAGCAGGTAGTGTGGAATCGAGCCAAGAATGCGGAGGCTAGGAGGGGACAGGTCTGTGTGAACAATGCCTTGCTCAGCCTTCTACCCTACAAATGGGAAAAGGTAGAAGAGCCGACCTCTGCCCGGAAGCCTGGTTTATAACAGTGCTTTGCTGCAAGCAGAGAGAATGCTGGTTAAGTAAAGGATGGGGCATCCTTATACTGGCACATCAGTCGCCAGCAGAGAAGAAGAGGCCATCACATATATACTGATCAGGAACCATAGCAACACCTCCTAGCTGTTCAAGATCAATCAAATCTGCAAGCTAAGTTTCAAGAAGGAGTGTCTAGATATGCAATTGTTAGTCTACCAAAAAAGAAGTCACATAAATAGATTTGTGACTGTGGCTCTAAGTTGCAGAGTATCTAGGGGGAAATACATAAGAAATTGGTTTTTAAATACTTTACAGTTACTTCCAGGGGGAGAGAGTGCAATTGGACTGAAAGTTTTGTTTTCACTGCATATCCTTTTTCACCCCTGAATTTTCATGGTGCCCCTTACATTACCAGTTTTGAAAAACTGAAAATAAAAATTAATTTGCCAACTACTCCTCCAGCCCCTCCATTAAGACCTTAGACAAGCTACCTGACGTTGACTTCACTGACTACATCTTCACCAGCAATTGACTTAAGGTGTGGGAAAATACGTGTTGTGCTGCAAACCTCTGAGCATGTTTGTCAGGCTTTACGGAGTGTCCACAATATGTGGTGTCTGGGTAAGGAAATGACCTCAATGCTTCGGAGTTTTTTCAACACTATTTTTGTCCTCGTCCTTGAACAATGTTATTTCCCAGAGACCGATTCCTCTGAATGTTCCCACTGATTTCCTCAACGTAGCCCCCAGTCAGACAGCCTCGAAGAACAGCATCCACATGTGTCAGGTTGACGTGATGAAACAATGGAAAGAAATATGGGGAATACAACTCTATGTCAGAAACTTGGTCTGGCCTGAGTAGTTGCCTAGTTGTGAACATATCCAGCCCAGCATGTGCCCCTGACCTCCTTCTTTAAAGCTTCCCGTATGCTGCATGTTGTGAAAGTCCTCTCCTCATGGATCGATTCCCCAAATGTTTCCATTGCCTGCCACATAGTGACAGAAAATCGAACTACACAAAGCACTAACACCACACAACAAGAAGGGTTCCCCCTTTCCCTGAGCTGCCATCAAAACATCATCTACCTTGGGCGTGTGCCTATGAGTAGTAGATGTGGAGTGAGGGACCCTCCACAGCCCACCAGGATCTTAGTTGAGCTGGGTGTCTGGACCTAAGAGCATAGCTGGTGCATCTGTGAATTCCCTGATGCCCCGGAGTCCCTGGGCTGGGGGGTCAAAGACTAGTATTATCCTTCAGTCAGTGCACCCCAGGTCTGACTCCCAGGGCCTTCCAGAAACAGGGGTTGGGGATGGAGGTGCACAAGTGAGGCACTGATGGTCCAGAATGCAAGGAGCATCGAGGCTAGAGCAGAGGATAGAAGAGTGCAGTGTAGTGGGATTACCCAACAGTTCTTCCGGGCTATAATACATGGGGAAGGAGCTGCAGGTGAGAAGGTGGCTCTGTAGGTTGGGGCTAGTCCTAAGAGGCCTTGGCTGTTGGGTGAAAAGCTTTAGACTCCATTAAGACAATGGGCCATCACTGAGGGGCTTAAGTGCATGCAGAGTGTGCATGGATCAGAACAAAGGCCTCGGGCACTAACAACCCGTCGGAGAAAGCTGGCGATCAAGCCATGAAGAAGATAGAGCCCTTTCCTTACTGAGCTTTGCAGCTAGGAAGGAAAAGCAACGAACAAACCGAGGAACACATTCTCCATGACAGCACGGTGTGGCTCGTGTTAGTTTCTCTGACTCGTGGCAACCCTGCACACAACGAGTGAAACATGGCCTGGTTCATCATCGTCCTCACGCTCTTTGATCCATTTGACAGATGAGTAGAGGTAACATATCAGCCTGTAAGAAGTGTTGTGGAAGCAAGCGTAGTGAAGAAAGCTGATGGTGCCCAGCTACCAAAAGATATAGCACCTGAAGCCTTAAAG